CCTGACCAAGGAGATATCCCATTCAGCAGTGAAACTGGTCAGGGCAAGGGAGGCTAGCCAGGTTGCTGTTTCTTTGGAACTGTCCTGGCATCAGTAGGTTGCTGGAGAACAATTAAGGTGGTTTTGCGTCACTCTTTCTTATTGCTTGTGTTTCCTTTGCTCTTTGTTATTTTCTTTTTGCATTTAAAAAAAGTTATTGAACTGCCTATTTCAGTCCACAAGTTTTTACCCTTCTGACTCTCTCCTGTCCCACTGGGTGAGGTAGTGAGTGAGCAGCTGTGTGGTGCTTACCTGCCTACTTGGGTTAGACTGTGACATTTGGCTTTCTGAGATTTATCTAAATCCCAGACGGTGAAGGTAACTTCTAACAGTATTAGTAGTTTTGAGTGCTAATGTGTGAGTTTATGTAGTTTGAAGCTTGTGAGTATAATGAAACATTTAAAGTATTTCAGTGTTAATCTGCTCATAGTGGCAAGAGAGGGAAATTGTGACAGTAATAGTATTGTGTTAAATTATTGAAATATTCCTTTCCCTTTTTGATCTTTCTTCTGTTGACTAAAATGGAGTAATCTCTCTACTATCCTGAACAGCGGTGTTTAAAAAATCTGAAAATTCTCCATTGTAATTCAGATTTCTTTTTAATTCATCTGCTCTTGGAATCTAATTACCTGCAGGAGGGAGAGAGGTGTAGAATATTGGTTACAGATAAAGAATATTGGTTAATAAATTTTAAAAGATCATGTGAATATTTTAACCTACAACTTTTAGCTGGGCTGATCAGGAATATGCTTTCATTATGAGTCAGAATTAGGTAAGGGAAATGGTGTCAAGAATGTGTTGTTTTTAAGTTTCACCCATTTGACAGCTAAATGCATTCATATCCTTCTGGGAGTAAATGCAGATTTTTTTAAGATGGTAACCTAGAAAACAGTAATTGTGTCAGTGTTACGTACATTCCCTTTTCAAACCTTGAATGTGAAATCTTATTCTTGCCTTGTGGAAGAAGATGGTTTCTGTAACTCATAGATGTAGAAAAAAAGAGCAGCTGTGTACAATAAAGATTTGATTTTCCTTCTCTATCAGGTGTTGGTGAGATTGAGACCAGAATATGCATACAGGTTTTTTCAGAATGCTGGAAAAAATGTGAGGAAGAGCTGAAAAAGTTATGAGTTATTAAAAAATTGAAAAAAGAAAACCCACCCTCCTTCTTAGATATTTGAAGTTTGCAGTACATGTCTTAAAAAAAGCTAAATACCTTCTGCAGCAAAAAAATGACACGCACACTCCCCCTTTCCATCTTTGGGATGAAAACCACTTGGGATTGCTCCCCCTTCCCCATTTTACCCCCCCCCAGCTTCCTGACTCCCCTCATGCCACACTCTTAACTTCTTTTTCTCCATGTGACATATATAATAGGCCTAGGAGGTTACTATGTGTGAATGAATGATATTAAGGAAATAAAATTGGATAATAGGTTGAAAACAAGATCCAGGTAAATTTGATTAAATACTTAACTGAAAATGTCCGTATGAAGTTTTTAAGGTTGTGGGATTTTTTTTTTTTTTTCAGTGGAAGCTACAAAACTCAGTTGCCTTCTTAAACTACAAAAATTGATAGGTATGTAAGGAAAGGTTCTCAGTACTTCAGGTCTTGTAATATAGGCAAGATTTTGTTCAGATGTTCAGAACTGCTTTTTGTCACTCTTGTATTGCATCTCTGAGACTGGTCAGTTTTGCAGAACTGTGTCTTGTCATCAGGTATTGGGTACATTTTGAACAGGACTGCTAAACTGAGCTTCTGCAGCTTGAGCAATAGCCACTTTTCAGGTTGGGTTAGCCTGGAAGAAGGACCTGAGAGAAGATATTAAGTGTCTCTGGAACTTGATTGCCTGAAAGGTTTCTTGTAAATTGGCCTCTGGATTCAGATGCCTAAATGCTGCCCATTTTAGGTATGTAGGCAAATAGATGCACAGCTCCTTCTCTCATTTTGAGATATTTTTGTATCCAGGTAGAAGTTAACCTCCCCTGGAAATGAAATGTGACATCCAAACTGTCAGTAAATGGTGAAAGCTTTCACTATGTATTGATCCAAGAAATCCTTCCCAGGGCAGAAGAATAAATGCAGGATGTATCTTTTAAGAACAGTTGCGTACAAGATGAGATATTCTCTATGAGATAATTAGTTGGAACAAAACATGCAGTGTGTTGCACCCAGCTTTAAAAATTTTGCATGCTGTAAATGTCAATTTTAAAAAAAAAAAAATTTGCATTCAGAGTTTGGCTCCCTTGTGTGGACATTGTTTTTGAACAATACTGGTGTGTTAGAGAAAAAACTAAAATTAAGAATCAGGCAGTTATTTGTACCATTTTTGTTTCAACCACTTGTATTACCATGTTTGAGAGCAGATATCTGTTGCTGTGCTGATTTATTAACCTAACTTTGGTTTCTGCTCTGCAAATTCAGATGTGGCTGCTTATTGTCAGCTCCTTCTGGCAGTCTGCTAACCAGCCATGTTATAATCAGTGGAAATTTAAGAATTGTCAGAGCTTGCTCAAGTAAAAATGACTTACTTGCTGATTGATTTAGTAAGGATATTAATTGGATGACTAATTAAGCAAATTGTCAGTACCCCTTTTCTTACATTAGTTGCAGAGACATTTTTGGCAAAGATGGTAGAGAGTTTTCACCTTCCTAAGGATTGTAGGAGTAGCGTAGTTAATAACAAATCTACAATTTTAGCCACTGTTGTTTAATGTGGGATAGGCAAGTTTGGAAATATTTTCAAGGAAGATTATATGTAGTCAAACTACACAGAGCTTCATAGATAATGGAGAGAAAAAAGCCTGGTACCTGCTAATTTCTTTCTGGAAATGTTCAACTGAGTTGTATCCCAGATTTGTAGAAATAAGCAGTATCACCATATTTCAGCTAGTGATTTACATGGTTGGGTTTCTAACTGTTTATGGAACTGGGCTATGGTTGGAGAGATTTCATGTGTGGGAAGAAAAGTGGAAAGACTGCACGATGAGGATTACATGTTTTAAGGGGGTTTTAGAGCAGTGGATATGGTGTGGTAGGTCATAGTACAATGTGATTGTCACAAATGGTTTCTGAGAGTTGGCTAAAGATAACAAAAAGTGAAACTGACAGCATTAAAGACTTCTCATGTTATAATTTGCTTAAATGTTACAATTTTAAGCAATTGAATTGTAAATATTTGCCTTTTAATTTTAAGCACTACAAGTACCTTCACTGTTGCTGTCAATTCACCTGGGACTTAAACAGTAATATTTTAGACTCTTGTGGGTGTGTTGAGTGTAATTGTTTGGTTTATTCCAGCCTTATTTTTTTTTCCATGTCAGGATGAAAGAAAGTGATTATTTTTCTTATCCTGGAACCTGTATTTTTTTTTCTGAGGCTCTGAATCTTCCACCATCATTATTATGACTTGTGTTTCTGTTTCTTCTGTGTTTTTTTTTTTAAGAAGTGGAGTTGTTCTGACTGAAGTACAGATTGCTAGGAAGTGTTTTCATTACCATGCTTGCAGTTTTAGACCAAATTCTTGTAGGATGCTATGTGTCTGAACCTCTTTAAGACTGGCTTCTACTAGAAGCTGTAGCTTTCTTCTTTTTGCTTATTTATTAAAGCTTTTAAGGGATCATCTGATTCCTGAGTGCAGCCCCAAGAAAATTTTTTTTTTGCTTTTTTCATGATATATGTTACATAGACAGCAACAGTTAATTTCCTGTGTGTCAGTTGTAGCAAAATGACAGCTTCAGCAGTGATGCTAGTTTAAAAAACAAAGAAAAAAAAATTCTGATTAGACTCTGATAGTTGGTACATGTGTGCAATAGTATTTTTTAGGCAGTCCACATACTGCAATTACCAGCCTTACTAATGGCTATTTTACTTGAAGCTGCGTAAAATAACTGCTAATAAATGGTGTCTTTGCATATAGATACTCTCTTTTTAAGGGTAATGATGAGATGGTTTCACAACCAGGAAAAAAAAAACCCACCACTTTATTTTCTGAAGTTCAGAAAACTTGATGTTAATGGTTGCAAACTTTATGTTCCTGGACTGTAATGTCTCCTTTTCAGTTTGAGTTTCGAGAAGATAAAAGCTACTTTAATTTCTTAACTAGTAAAGAATAAAAGTGACCTAGAGGGACAGGAGAAAGCCACTGAACATCTGGAATACTGAACTTCCAAGTGCACTTGTACAAGCAACAGCCTTTGGACATGAACCCTCTGTTAGATTATTAATAGCTGATACTACAGCTGTATTAAAATCTCTCTTCATTGCAATAATGGCAGCTTTCCTTCACTGTCTTTCAGGTTTCCTTGTACTAATCCCCTGTTTTCATGGTAAAAGCATTAAGATCCATTAATATGGGATACTGCTGTAGTAATATGAAACATACATGGGCAATTGCCTTGTATGGCCATGCCTGAACATACTACATAGTATAAAGAATAAAGCCTTCTCCCTGGGACTTAAGACTTTTGTTTTAGAAGGTGTGATTTGATTAACTATACTTTTCCTGTCACAGAGATAAGCTATATATGGCTGGCTGAATTGTGCAGCATTACCTGAAGGCTTTTCCATTATAGTGCTTGCAAATATGATTTTGCATGCTGACATAAGTGTTGTCATAGCTATGTGCAGAAGTGTATCACATTAAAAAAAAGTCATTTGACATCTGGACTTCATTTTTATTTTTTGTAAAGTCTGTTACTGCAAACATGTTAAGATGGTGGCAAGATTAGTGTTGTATTATTTAGTGTAGATGAAAATTGTTACTTGTCTTCATAATGTGCTCAGAGCACTTCAGGTTTTTAATAATTGTATTGTTAATGAAGCTCAAGACTTTAGAGAAATGGGAAATTCTTTGCTAAAAGAAATTATATCGAAGTGTTGGGGAAGAGGGAGGTTTTAAAGACATAACTGTTGTCTAACGAGTGTCTCTCTCTTCTTCTTGCCTCCATATTCTCATGTAGCAATGGCTCAAGAAGCTGGCAGACGTGCTTGGCCCACACAAGCAGAAGGATACCAGACCATTACGGTTAGAAGACGTGAAAGACGACATAACTATGTCAGTTTTAGACCATCTTTGAATAGTCAAGATAGAGATGAACATCAACACAATGAAGCCTGTGACCGATTAGATTTAGAAGATGTTCAGGAAGAGAATTCTTTATGTAAGTGCATGTCTTTGTGTATGTTCCAGTTAATGTCAAACAGGGATGCTTGGGCATGGAGAAGGAAAGCACAGAGAAATATGAAGGGAAGAGAGTAGCCACTTAACACATTTAAAGTACAAATGCCTCTGTGGAATTAAACTTAGCATAAAGGCAAATTTAAGTATAGTCAATCTTATGCTGTTTAATTTTGTTTGAAGAAGGGCATTACTGAATGAGTTAACGATTTCTAACCAATTAGATAGCTATAACATTGTATAATACAAATTATTTTGTCTTCAAGTCAAATTACAAGTCACATTTGGAAGAGAATACCTATTATAACCTTCCATTTGACATATCATGGACCAGGTGGTTCTGTCTTTGCTAGCCATGGTGTAGTTACAGTGGGAATTAGTTCAAGCCTATAAAACATTTTTCAAGGATCTATTCTTAATTTTTTTATACTGGTCAGACCACTTCCCTTTCTTGTTTCATGTATATTGAATGTTAGTATTTCCCAAAATGTCTTGTGTGACTTTAGGATCTGACTAATAATTTAATGGAGAAATACAAAACAGCTTGTTGGATTAGAAACAATAGTCCCATTTCCTTTAGTATATAAGGTTCTCTGCTAAAAAGGTTTGATACAGCCTCAGATCTTCCAGACTATTGGGTCCTGCACCTGGGTCACAGCAGCCCCATGCAAAGCTACAGGATTCTAGGGCAAGAGAGGCTGTTGGTTGACAGCCCCCTGAATACAAGCCAACAGTGTGCCTGGGTGGCCAAGGCGGCCAACAGCATGCTGGCTTGTATCAGCAATAGTGTGGCCAGCAGGACTAGGGAAGTGATTGTCCCCCTGTACTCAGCACTGGTGAGGCTGCACCTCAAATACTGTGTTCAGTTTTGGGCCCATCACTACAAGACAGAGATTGAGGTGCTGGAGTGTGTTCAAAGGACAATGAAGCTGGTGAAGGGTCTAGAGAGCAAGTCTTATGAGGAGTGACTAGGGGAACTGGGGTGGTTTAGCCTGGAGAAAAGAAGGCTTAGAGGAGACCTTATCACCGTTTACAGCTACCTGAAAGGAGGTTGCAGTGAGGTGGGTGTTGCTCTCTTCTCCCGGGTAACAAGCAATAGGGTAAGAGGCAATGGCCTCAAGTTGTGCCAGCAGAGGTTTAGATTGGATATTAGGAAAACTTTCCTTACTGGAAGTGGTGTCAAGCACTAGAAGAGGCTGCCCAGGGAAGTGGTTGAGTCACCATCCCTGGAGGTAGGTGTTGATGTGGCACTTAGGGACATGTTTTACTGGTGGACTTGGCAGTGCTAGATTTATGGTTGGACTTGATGATCTTAAAGGTATTTTCCAACCTAAATGACTTTATGATTCTGTAAAGTAGCTTTTTTTCTTCTTTTATAGACTATTTTGTAACTGCTTTCGCCTTCTGATTTTTTTTTTTTAATAGCATAGCGCTAATTTAACTGTCATATGCCAGCGTTCTTGGAGACTGTTATGTGATGGAGATCATCAGGTGGAGTGGCTTTAACTTTTTTTAATTTGACCATTTTTGCAGTTGTCTATGCTTTACACATTTTCTACACTTCCATCTAGTTAAAGGTTTATTTCCCATAAGGCAATGTTGACACTTTTGGAGATCTTCCAACCATGTCTCTATAATGCTAGCACCTTTCTTGTTGCAGTTACTCAGAAATGAGCATGCTATTATTTTAGGGGTCATAAGAAATATGCAATTTAGAGTATATTAGCTCTATAAGAGAGTGTACAATCTATTAGAGTGTATTACCTTGTCTATAAATCCTAAGAGTGACTTATTTTCTGTATTAAGTCCAATAATAAAATGACTTTGGTCTTTTTTTTACTTTTGTATTATGACTTTTCAAAATTTATCTTTGAGAAATGCTTAGGATTGATTTATTTCCCTTGCCTCAATTAGATTACACTTTTCCCCAGTCGATACGTATTTTTTGAAGGGTGGGTACTTCCTAAAATATGCTGCATATTTCCTTGCTAATTGGCTTCACATCTTATATACATCTAATCAATTGTGGAAGATGGATAGGAGGGGTTATCCTTTAAAATATTAAAAATCTGACTGGACTTCATCCTTGATAACCTACTATTGGTGACTCTGCATGAGCAAGAGGGGTGGACTGGATGATCTCTGGTCTACTATCCTCAGCTATTATCTCTGGTCTACTATCCTCAGCTATTAGCAATTTAGTGAAGGAGCTTCAAGATTTTAATCAGATAAAATGTAATGTTACAGTATTGCTTCCTGCAAGCCAGACTCCTAGTGCCAAGAGGCACAGCTCTCGTAAGAGTTCAGTGCCATGAAGTCACCTATCTAGATATGGATTAGCTATTTAGATGAGAGGTTTTTTCCCCCTTTTTTTAACCATGGAATACTCATTTTACATGGTTTCTTACCTCTACCTGTTTTTAAAATGTGCTAGGGAATTCCCTGTTAACCATGTATGTCTGTATTTTTTTTTTAGTTAAAAGTTTCCAAATATCTTAATATTGACTTAATTTCAAGTACTTTCAAGTTATGCAAGCCATTGTATGTTCAAAAATAGTTTGGACTACTGTTTCAGGAATTTACAAATGACTTAAACTAAGCATCAATTTTGTAGGAGAAGCAATATACATGTCTGTATGTTGTTTTAACTCTTGCTGCTGGATTTCATTTTATTGTCCCTTTTATGCAAGAAATGTTCAAGTGTAATATAACCAAACTGAATTTGTGGTGATGGTAACTACTAACTGTAACTTCACATTCATCCCTGCTATTATTTTCTTATGAGGAGTTACACTCACAGCTGCATGTACAAAATATAGTGTTATTAGTATGTAATTTATAGTAGTGATAAATGTCTTTATCTGAGTGTAGCAGGAAGCACCATTTAGCCAGTTAATGGATAGTCAAATTTTTAACTTATGGAAAAAGTTGTAGCTTTTAAAATCTTCTAGTGTTTTTGTTTTTATTTTTTTCAGATTTCCTATTTTCATCTTAATTTTCTTTTATATAAACAATGTACAAATGCTGCTTACGTATCTGTTCCTTTAATACTTGTTTGTTTTCTATCACAGGCTGAGTTGAAATTGTATCATTTCAGTCTATTTCTATATGCTTAGCTTATATAAATGAGAAAATAAATGTATTAGTAAAGAAGGACTCTAGTAAATGTTTCTCTACCTAATTGCAATGCAGTCTTAGTGAACTTTCCTTTGTTTTTCATGAGCGGTTGTTGTAGATGAGAATATTTCTATTGTGTTTGATTATTCCAATGTGTTCTTTCTTAGCTTTCCGTGAAGGTTCCAATCTGTTAGTTCAAGTTTCTTCTGGTTTATTAGATGAGCCTTTGTTAGAAAATACTAGAACTGGAGAACCCATTTGCCGAAGTATATCAAGGCAAACTTCTGAAGCAAAGACATCGCAATCTTCTCTATTCACTTATGGTCTGGAAGGCAACCAAATCTCATGGAACTTCATGAATCCTAATGAAAAATCTGAGGACCTTGCTGAATACTCATCTGGAGGGCGAAATGACTTAAATGGTCAGAGTGGAATTGCTTCTGTAAATGTTGACTCTTGTGAGCCAGATAGCAGTGACAGAGAGGAAGGTGATGCTCAAGACAAACTTCCTTTGCCAAGAGAAGAAGCAGGTGTGTTTCAGCAAAGACTAGATAATATGCTTTCTGAGTTAGAAGAAGGCATAGAGTCTTCTACTGACTTGGAGTCCAGACTGTCTGCTCTCAACCGCAGTGTTTCTAGAACAGGTTGTGAAGGAGCAGGACCAATGCCTTTAATGACATATTTTGGCATGGATTCGAACTTGACATGTCCAAACAACAGGACATTTAAATCTTCAGCTGAAGATCAAGCTATACCAAAAAGTAACCCAAGTGATACCAATTGTGAAACACCACAGACAAAAAATACAGTCGATGTTGCCATGAGAACCCCTCAAGCAATTGCTAATGAATTAAATGGCAGTGATGGAAAGACTGACCAAGGAAATTCAGCTGAGTGTGTGGTGAGACCTAAAACGAGAAAAGAAAATACTGCAAAACAGTGGAAGCTTTTCTCTAGTGATGATGATGACGACAGTGATTTCTGGAAGAGATTTGAAATCGCTGAAGGCCAGCAAGGCCATGGTGGGCGTGATGTGAGAAACAGTGATGAAGTACATTGTATGTTCTTTGACTCAGAGCGTGAAGCTAATCAACAGAACACAGAAACAGACCAAAGAGAAAATGCAGCAAATAAAGAAAGAACTGTTTCAGAACTTTGGAATGAATTTGAAGAATGGAGCAGAAATTTCTCAGCGTTGCACAGAGATCAAGACAGGTAAAATTCCCTATTTATATCTGTATTAGTATTGAATCTTTTGTGTAAATAATGTTCAAATCTGAATAATTTGTTAGTGAATAGGACACAAACTCAAGCAATTTCCAAATATGATCACATAACAAGATGCCAACTTTTCCTTTCAGTTCTCCCTTTCTCAAGTCCATCTAAAGAAAGAGTAATATACATTCTGCTGATAATGTAATAAACCTTTTTTATGCTCAGGGTTAAAGTGTCTTACCACTAAGGAAGATTACTTCTTTACTTCTATTTTTATTGTGTGGATGGAGGGTAGAGAGATAAACATTGTTCAGCATGGTTTTTGGCAAATTATGGATCTTTCAAAGTTCCCTTCAAGACTTGTTATTTTCAGAATTTGTTCTTTTTGTCATCAGATCTCAATATTCTGCATGACATCTTATGTGTGATCTTGTCTTCAGCCTTTTGAAATAAATTACTATTCTTCGTTGGCATATCTGAAGAATAATTTGATAGGATTGTTTATAATCCCTCCTTTTAATCAAAGTTGTTTAGACTAGTATGTGTTTCCAAAGTAACACTTAATGAATATAGTTTCTGATCTACAAATGGCTCCAGCCTGGTCACTAGGAGCAGTATTTAGGCTCCTCTTGTTTTGGCCTCTCTACCCAGAAGACACAGTAATTTGGATAAACCTTGTTTTGATTACCTTTTACTCATATAATGTTGGTTAAGAACTTTTCACTGTGGGTTGGTGTTATGTAGTTGAGCTATCTGAGGGTAAAACAGATTTTTAACTTTATGTTCATTATAGTAAATGCAGTAGTGTTTGTGGTGGCTTTTGTTTGATTTTTTTTTTCCCCCATTTTTCTTCGAGTTTGTTTTCATCTCACTGATTCTGTTCCCACTGCACTCTTTACAAGACTTCTTCTGTGTGTTGATGTGTTTTTTTGTGTTTGTGCTTGCCATTAGCCTTCATAAGCAAACCTCTTAGTAGATTGTTTCCACTGCTTTTGTGAGGAGAACAGCATGAAAATTAATCTGCATACACCCATCACTAAAATATTGCAGAGTCCCAATTACGAGAGAACAATCCTTAAGATGTTGTAAAATGGAGTAGTAGACTTAATTTTGTTTCTTCTTATTAAAGATACGGGTGGACTTGCAAATGAATACTTTATTCCCTTATAAGATTTACTTTTTGAAAATTTTTATTACCACATAATCTTCTCCACTTCCACAGTGCTGCTAGTAGAAGATTAAAATACAGTGGAGGAAATGGACTGCATTTTACAATTATCACATTGGCTTCCATGAAGCTAGGTGATGGCTTTTTGTATCATGACAAAAAGAAATAAAGATTGCATATCTGAAAGTGACTGTGTAAGTTGTGATGGCAATAACTGAACCAATAAACAGGAAGCATGTGGTTTTTAACTTAAAAACCCACATAATTTGTGTTCTAAACCCTCAAAATACTTATGAAGTAAATTATCACTGATTACTCTGTACAAAGGAGTAATCTATTTTTTTCTCAAAGTGCAATGTTTTATATTTAAAGGATTAAACCATATTACATGTTCAAATGTACATATATAGCTGCATAAAAAGCAAAATGGACATATGTGTCAAACTACATCCTGCAACTCAACTTCCACTTATCCAGGGAGAAATTCACCTTGCTGATTGCTCAAACCTGGGATTTTACCTCCTGTTTTTGCTTCAAGGAGGTGCCCAACTGTGATGGTGTTAGCATGTAGAAGCTGTGTGGGAAGGAGAAAGAAGTTGTGTTTGTTAAGAAGTTGTGTTTGTTAGAACCACAAATGCTATTATGGTAGGTCCCTGGAGGTCAGGGGTAGTGGGATGGGGATTGGCTCCCTCCATTTAGTCTTGAATCATATGGCAAATACAGGCCAGTTCAGCCAGGGGAGAGACTGTTCTCAGAAAATAGATGTGCATATGCTAAGTTCACAGAATCTTAGAATGGTTTGAGTTTAAGGGACTGTAAAGAGTTCCAACCCCTGTATCATGGGCAGGAACATGTTCTACTAGATCAGGTTGCTGATAGAAAAATATATTCCTGCTTCGAGATGGATTATATAAAAGCATTTTAATTTGATCTTCATTATTCATGTAAAACTTGCAGTATGTAATGTGTAGTCTTTCAAAAGTACTTGTAATTCATTAAATAGCAAATTGTGTTGGCATGTACTTGTAATACTAGATAGGAGGGTTTCTTTAAAGTGAGTTTGTAGTTGGGGAGGTAACACTGATACACACAGGCATACTGGATTTAGCAGATTGAAAACTGAACTGCAGATGTTGTGATTGTTGTATAGTATGTGCTCTATTAAGCCTGTTTGCGGTTCACATATCATTAATTTTCTGTAACTTTATGAAGTGTCATAGCAAGTTGACTATACTTTAAATTTTAGTAGGTGTCAGCTGTCACTTAGTATTGAGTGAACCTTTGAAGTGGCATTACCAAAGGTAGATAACGTCATCCTTCTTGAGATTCTGCTAACATCACTATTTTGTTTAGGCTGTCCACAACTTGTTATTTACTGCCCTTTTCTATGTGGTGGCTGAGCAAAATTTTCTTTGAAAAACTCTCTGCCATTCATCTGTTAGGGCTAGTGAATTATGAAGTTTTCAGTAAGTCATCCATTGCACCTTTGTATGACTACAAAAGGAAACCATTGTATATGGCTTAAAGGTTATGAGAGTGTTTATTTTTAAGTTTTGTTTGGCTGAGAGGTAAGGCCGACATTGTTTACTATTTATTAAGCAAGCATTGGTGTTATCAGTGTCACTGCTGCTGTTTTCTCTTTGTGTTCTTGGAGAAAGATGTGTATAGTGAGTCTGGGTTTATATTCCAGAGTTGTTTCATGTACTCTGCAAATGTGGAGTGGGAAGAGCAAAACATTTTTGCAAAGTGGGGTAGGCAGAATGCTTTTTTAGGAATTGTTTTTTTTAATCACCTCTTTATGTATGTTTGCCTTGTAATACATCTATAAATAGCAAATAATTTCTTCTGGAAAAAATAGTCTATATTGAAAGCAATGTTCATAGAGAAGTAGGAAATTACAAAATGTTAGTGTTTGTTTTCTTTCCCCTAAAGCAGTGTTTAAATTTACACTTTGTTGCCTTCTTTAAGTTGCAGCTCAGAATCCAGTGATGAATGTTTTACAGATGTGCATAACTATTTTACTGATAAAGACTGTGTGACTGGCCCAGGCAGGCAGGAAGGTGGGCCTGAAGTGCTGAGCAGCAGCAGAGGTGTAGAAAGGAGCACGGACTTCAGTTTGCAAGGAAGGTATGGTTTTATATTATTAGCTAACTTCCTTTAAGTTCTGATGTCAGCAGTAACACAGTATCCACGTGACACTACACAGAATAACATCATTTCTAAAAGTAGTTACTATACTAGTAATAATAATTTGCCGACATCAAAAAATCTGAGTGGTGGTATATATTTCAAATCAGGGAAAAAGTGGCATGTCATGCAAACAATTCTATTGTATTAAAGATACAGAAATAGTGAGAAGGCATTGGCATGTAGTGTCAATATGCTGGATATACTGATTTCAAAAAACCAGATTAGGCAAGTTAATTGTAAAGATATATATGTTATATACATATCTTCTGATACTGCTTACTACTCCCTGCAAAGCAGTTTATCTCTTTGCTTTATTGTTTTTCATATTCCACTGCTGCTCTTTATTTCTGCAGCTCTATCAGTGATTAAAGTAAACTTGAACTGTTAGCTTTCCGAGAACTTACTTATTTTTGCAGTCATTCAGTACTTTACTTTATAAAATGTATCTGCCTTTGTTGCAAGGCAAAATTTGTACCTATAAATAGCCAAGGAAAGTTTTATTTTTCTAAGCATCTAATAAAGACCCAAACTAAGAATAAAAGGTCAATATAAAACAACAAACCATGCTCAAGTCTTCTTTCAGCCTCTTCCACTCCTTGGAAGAATTAGTGTTACTTTATGAAAACATTATGAAAACTCATCTATTTCAGGACAACAATGGAGCTGTGTACTCTTTAGCTTTCTTTGATGTGAACAGTCTGCAAATGTACCCATTTCTAACATGATTCCTGTTTATTTGCCCTTTGATAAGGGAAGTGGAACTTGCAGCCCTGTGGCTCTAAACATCCAGGTGACTCGGGCTCCTGCAGTAAATCCAGGAATGAGTCCTCGTTATGCGGATAGCTTCTCTTGCAAATAGTATCTCTTTGCATTCAGGCCAAGCTTCCCCATGAAGGCTGTTTCATGGTGTCAAGAGAGCTTTTCTTTTTAGTGGCTTTAGGAGCTCGTGATTGAATAAGAAAATCTTTAGTACCAAATTTACTAGCCCTCTCAGGGTTACTGCCTGTACTAGGGAAAATGCAAAGCAAGTTACTTGCTGTACTGTTGGCCTTGAGCATTATACAAATATTTTTGCCATAAAATCATGGGTGTACTAGATTCTGGGTCTGGAGCTGATACCACTGGGAGTTTCTTGTGTTTTACAGCAAATGCTAAATTCGTAATCTGGGACTCTACAGGCTGGGAAACATACACCTTTAGCCCCTGTAATATGTGTAGCTTTTTTGCTTGCATGTGTTTGTAAATCTCCTAGCTTTCCATTTGTTTATTTGTAGGGAACAGGCATTCCCACATCTTCCTTTGGAGGAAGGAGAGATTCCTTGGTTACAGTATCGTGGTCGAGTAGAAAGTGGTGATGAAGATAATGAACCAGTTAGTGAGTCTCTGAATCCTGGATTCTTCCCGTTGGATAGAAATAACCTTGAGGATGATTCCAGTGTGAGTGAAGAGTTGCGTGTGGACTGGAGGTATGCCTCTGATAGTTTTCTACATTAATTTCAGAGGTTTTGTAGTTACTCTCTTGCTTTTTATGTAAGATGTCAAAAATACTCATGGCTTTCAGTATACACTTGCTTCAAAGGCTAATAATCTGAGTATTAAGGTTTAAGGTGCTTCAAGTGCTCTGTTTTTTCTAATGAGAGAGGAAAGGATGTAGATTTGCTAAATCAGGCTGTGATCTGAGAAAATTCTGGTGCACTGAATAATCAAGGGATGGGTGTACTTTTTCAATTAGTTTTCAAGATGGTAAGTATAGTGGAAGTGTATCACGTGAGTCAATATGAATGTCATCAGCATTCAAGTCAGTGCTATTTTATAATTGGTCTTTTCCACGTTTGCAGCTGGTATAAGTTAGATATTATAAGTCTGTTATTTCCCTTTGAAATACCATGCACTTACCTATTATCATAATTTTGAATGCTTCACTCAATTTTCTGTCATTAGATCACTGAAGAATATTGCAATATATTTATTACAAAAATTCTGCATATACCAGAAAGTGATTGGAGCTGCTTGCACAGCCTAATTGTAGAATAGTATAATGCTTTTCTCTTAGAGTGAGCTAGACAGTATGCTAAGTGCTAGACTTAACACTTGCTCTCTTTTGCTTATTAAAAATATTATAAACTACAGCATAGGCATATCAAAAACAGTGGTATTTTCTCCTTGAAGTTATATTGTGAAAAAGCACAACACAGACTAATGCATGAGAGTCCAGGATAGAAGGCATGTCTTCTTACAGTGTCAGGCAGCAAGCTAACAAAGGAATTGTAGGACAAAAGCTGTGTTTTAAGTGTTGGTTAGCCTTGGTAAACTTTCTCATTATTTAGAATAGGAGGGAAGATGCTTCTCTAATGGTCTGTTAAGTTTTGTCTGTTGAGCATATGCAGATTGGCACATCATTTTGCTTGTGCTCATTTTAAGATTTGATCTCTGAATGTTGAAAATAATACTCAAAGCAGCTGCCAAGCTGTGAATTGTGACACATGATGCAATCAAAATCTGAATACTAGTTGTAAAACAAACTTAACATACATATGAGACTTACTTGCTGAACTGTATGCCCTTTTACTTTGGAGTGGTCAACAGTAACTTCCATCATGTTCTGAAGTCTGTATTGTCTTAAGTGTACCACTGTACTGGGAGCATGTTGGGGGTGGCTGGGTGCTGCAGGGCAGCCTCTGAGGAGGGGCTGCCTCATGTGGGACACAGCTGTTTCCAGATAGCTCCAGCAGGCCCACTGCAGGATGGTGCCTCTGGGAAAGTATTCAAGTGTAAAATAAAGGTGTGCAGCAGAGTGTGAGAGAGGAGTGAGGACCATATGAGAGAAACCCTGCAGACACCAAGGTGAGAGAAAGGGGAGGAGGTGCTCCAAATGCTGGAGGAGAGGTACCCCTGCAGCCCCCAGAGAAGACCACAGTGGAGCAGGTAGGTATTTGCTGAAGGAACTGTGCTTGTAGAGAACTGTAGCAGTTAGTAAAGGACTGCAGCTTGTGGGAAAGACCCACACAGGAGCAGATTTATCCTGAAGGACTGCAGCTCATGGGAGGAACCTCATGTTGGAGCAGAGGAACAGTGTGAAGAGGAAGGAGTGGCAGAGAGGAACTACCATGGAATGACCACAACCCCCATTCCCTGTCCCTCTGCGCAGCTTGGGGTGGGGGTACATAGAGAAGTCAGGAATGAAGAACTGAGGTTGAGTCTGTCAAGAGAGGTCTAAGAGGAAGATGTTTTCATTTTTGTCTTTGTTTCTCACCAGCCAAATCTATTTTTATTATCACTGTATTCATAGAATCAGTAGAACAGCCTAGATTGGAAAGGACCTCAAAAGATCAGCTGGTTCAAGGTTCTGCCTTAAGTTGAGTCTGGTTTGCCTGTGATGATGATTGGTGAGTGATCCCTCTGTCTTTAACCCATGAGCTTTTAGTCTTATTTACATGCTGTCCAGTTGACATGGGGGAGTGAGAGAGCAGCTGAGCAGGTATCTGACAGACAGGCAAGGTCAACCCAACACAATGACCTCAGAGTATATGCACACAGTTGTTAACAGGTGATGGGCAGGAATTTGATGTACCCAGCTCTAATGTTATTACTATTTAGTTTGAAATAAAGACCACGTTTCCTAACTCTTGTTTTTCAGACGACATGATGAGTTTGGTGGTGCCGTGGGACATGCTCGGGTCTTTCCTAATGTGAGTCCTCAAGGTCTCACATTTACAGCACTAGAGGAACACTTACAACAAGCTATGGAGGTATTAAAATATTCTTGGTGGTATTATATCACTGATATTGTGACCTAAGTTTTTATTATTGAATCCTAAATTAATTTCCTGTTTTATCTTGAACTTTCAGGTCTGCAAGCTTAAAAATAAGTGTTAGAAGTTCTTTTCAATGATGTATTGCAAGAAATCACTGAAATGTGCTCCTCCTTTTAGAATATGTATTTATTTCCTCTTAAAAATACACTTTTTTCTACCATTATAAACATAAGCCATTTAAATTATTATAAAGAATGTTGCCAAATTCCCTATATAACAAAGGAAAGTTCATACCTGAACCTGTGCCTGTGCATTGTGTCAGCTTTTGTTTCTTGCAAGAGTACAATTGGATGTCTTACATTTTCATTCCGCAGTATAAGACTTTTCTGTGACTGACTTGATTCCACGTGTTTTAAATTAAAATAAATTTAAAAACCCACAAAAAACCCAGGAGCAAGAAAGCCTTTTATCTTTACCGTGTTCTAATCTCATTTCATCTGTCTAACTTTGGATGAACCAGAACATTTGTTATTGAAAACCATCATGGCTATGATCTATGTTTCTTGTGTTACATGATGTTGATCACTGTCAGAGTGAACGTGGAGCTAGCTGAAATTCAGTTAGATGCAATGTGACAATTTTTGCACTGCCAGCAATCTCCCCTGCAGGGTATTTATCAAAATAAGAGTTAAATGATGTGTCAAAATATAGTATGGGGTTACAACAATTAAATTTAATGTTTTGTGTGTGATGTGAGTTTAGGGACAGCAAGGAGCGGTTTGACTACTACCTCTTAGTTAAGAGGGATGAACATGGCAGACCATATGTCACAGTGTGCTTGCAGACAAAATACCAAGGATGCTTTAAAATGCTTTCTAAAGCTGACAGTCAGCTGAACAATCACAGATTTTTTTTTTCCCATGGATATGTACAAAATCAATGATTTTGTGAATAAACTTCATAAGGATTTTCTAAGGAGATGGAAGGGCTGTCCCCTGAAGTTGGCAGTCATTCCATTTCCAGGTATTCTGCATCCCCTAAGGGATACGGGAGTTCAGCATTATTCATGGTCAAGTATTATAGGATCATCTTCAGCTCTGTAGGATCTTGTTAGCATTACTTATCTGGTGACATGTCAGAACTGCTTATTAATGTGTAGGAGGACTGTTGATATCCTTACTATAAAAGCAGTATTTTGAAGTTTGATAAAGAAAACTCCATGTCTCTTTCATAGCTGCTGGTTCTCACTACATCAAAAAGAACAGAACTACAAAAGCAGTTGACCTTCTCATTTGCACCAAAGCAAGAGGATCTGTGTAGGGAGGGGAAACTAATCTCATCTTTTCTTTATTTTAATCTGTATGTTTTAACACTTCAAGAGACTGAGGTTAATGTAGCTCTGAGTTTTTCTTTCTCATTACTGCGTAACAACATTTTCCTAGTTATTCTGTCAGAAGAAACATGTGTATTCTTGTCAGGCTGACCTGTAAAAGCAATCCTGGATGGCTGGCTGAGAAGATGCTGTAATTATGGTAGTGTCAGCAGGAATTGGAGTGTCATTGAACACACTTGGCAAGCAGGTAGATGACTACAAAAGCAGTTACTCTCTGGTACCAGTGGTACAGGTCACTGAGGATGTTGGACAAGAAGGAAAGTCAATTCTTGTAAACAGTATTTGTGCTTGGAATTAACACTTAGGTGTCAAACTTTATGGTGGTCATAGAAATTTAGCATTTTGGAATTAGCAAAAAATATTAACAGCAATAAAAGAAACAGCTGTATTGACTGTGGCTAAACGGATAACACTGTTTTAAGTAAGAATTCCAAATATTTCCTCCAGATCTCAAGCAGAATATATGGAGCACCTCACTTTTCTATATGAAGATGGTTACTAAAATTGCTCAGAAAATAAGAACAAGGATTACCCGAAACTGTTGAACATTTGTCTTGGGTAATATTGCAAGTATTTCTGGAAGTGGAAAGAAAGTGAGGGGGTAAAAAAAAGGCTCTGTAATGTCTATCTATCCAGAAGTAATTGTTTGCTGAGATACTATCTTTCAATGACCACAGCAAGATGTAGACAGGATCAGGATATAATGTTTTCTGCTTTCTAGAAAAACGGAAAAATAGGACATTCAAATGTCTAGGCCAGTGTAATCTTTTCATAAAATACAATGTGACCCTGTCCCTGAGTGGATTAGCATAGACTAGAAACTTGTGTTCCTGGAACACAACTTTCCTGGTTGCCAGATAGTTGTAGATTAAAATGTAGGAGTGTCTCTCACAAATTTAAAAATGTAAAATCTTTAATTGAAATAATAATCATCTCAGTGTTACAAAGCTTCTTCCTTAACTTTGTTACTGTGGTCACAGTGCTTGCTCAGATATCCAAAATGTGGTGTACAGCATCTTCTTCAGGGGAAAAAAAGAAAAATATTTGAAAAAAAGCACTTTCTTTTGTGATGCAAAGACTAAACTGAACTTAACTTTTCAAGTTTGGGTAAGAGATTACTGAAAATGTCTTTGGTTTCTGCTAGAAAGTACAGATTTTGATTTTTCCATTTATAGGTTATATAGAAAATGTTTGTAACATGACATTTTTTGTTCTGCAGTTTGTTGCAACTATGTATATATATCAAGTAGGGAGGTAGAGATCGCTGTGATATCTTAGTAAATAAGGTCAAGATGATCAGGCTTGAACTCTTTCAGGGAAGTGAGAACTGAAGCTAGTTGTCTGTCTTCATGATGGGTATTTTATGTTCTTTATCCCTCTCCCCAAGAGTAAAGGGAGTGATTTTTATCTGTTCTTGACATAGTTCATCTTATTTTGGTTATCAGGACTTCTTCCGGTTTTGCTAGGCATTTTTCTGCAGGATGATTAGATTTCAGTTTCACTAGATTACCTTGTTTTACAACTTCTGTTCTCACCTTCCAGATCTTAGTGCTTGCATGTGTATGGTTTTTTCCTGTTTGAACAACTATACCCCAAGCTAGTTTGCCACTTCGCAGTTACATATTATCTGTACGCTTATACTGGGCTTTCTAACAGGCTCCTTGTTGCCAGTTACACTATTTTAGTACTATTTAGATCTGGCTTTAGGAAAAACAGCTATTTAAATCTTGCTTAGTCTGAATCCACCTTATGGGTGCAACATACCTCTGCTTTTGCTTCAAGTGTGAAAAGTAACCCACCTGCTTCCTGGTAATAGGCATTTTTGCACCAGAAGTTTTTAATAAAGTAGTCAGAGCTTTGACTAACTTGAAGTACTAATCTGATTTGATGAACAGAGTGGGTTGAGTTTAATTATTACATCACTAATAATCTGTCTAATGACTGACTTCATTCAATCTGTTACTGATTTACTTAATCCACCTCAAGTTTCCCAAAATTTTCTTACCAAAACAGTAGATTCATTAACTCTTTTTCACCCATAACAACATAATTTATTATGAGAATCTATTATAGCTTGGAAACTTTCTGAAAATTTCTCTGTCCAGCGAACTGATTTACTGTAGCTATGAAACACTTGAAAGGGATGTAACATAATTCACCCAGAATTCAAGTGTACCTTAATTGGGGGCGGGAGGGGGAGATCTGTTCCAATTAACTGTGACATTTGGAGGGGAGAAGTAGTGAATATATATTTTTTTTTTTTTTTTTTAAAGCTATGTTCTATAAGACTCTGGGATACAAAAATGTAATAACCTGTATGTAATCTTTTTTACTTCCATTTGTTTTAAAGAAATTAATTTGCTGGGAGTGTTTGGTTTACTTGATTAGTGGTTTGGAACAGGTTAGGTGTCTCTACAGTGCCAATGACTTCATTTATTAGTATTTTCTGTGCTGATTCACACACATGAGGACCTCAAACCCCTCTAGGCGATAGCACTCCTGTTTTCAGCAGTGTCCAGTATTTAGTTTATGGTACATGGATCAGTAAGCTGTTGCACAATTAATAAGAGGAAGGTATCTTTGAAGTTATAAAGGTATCTTATAAAATTTATAAAATTTATAAAATTGACACTTTGCTCTACTTTTGGTTTTGAAGTTATGGTTTTAAGCATCAGAGTAATTGTAAGGTTTTCTGTCTGTGATATTTCTTCTGTGTAGCTTTCAAAAGCAAACAATACAATGCTTTTGTAAATTGTTTTTTGTTTGAGTCCTAATACTGGATATAGACAGAGAGGTTTGACACATAGGTAATATTGCATCCTTCTGTCTGCTTGAGATACTGTATAATTTTTCAGCTCTTGTAGTTAATCTAATTAAGCATAGTATTTTTACCTACAAATTATTCTCAGACTATTGCAGCTATAGCAAAATAACATTACAAATACTAAAATCACCTTAATATTAGTAAGGCTGTATTGTCTGCGGTGGCAAAATTTAATGTTGTTAAGCTGTTAAATTGGAGGAGCATACCTGTTTTGCAGATGGACTTGCATACTGCACTAGGCAGAACTGTCCGATGATTCGCTTTAAATTAGCACATTTCTAGATGAGAATATGTGTGTCGGTAGGAGCTGTAAATATTTGTATGTTAGCTCATGCTGATCTCTGATGCCACAAATATCTGACTGCAGGTCTAAACCTGCTAGTTTAAATCTATGGTGGGATGGTTGCCTGCACTACCTTGCCACTGTGATAGAAGTGCAGGCATGTGTTTAGGCTGCAGCTCTAATAACTTTCTCTAAAGTTTAATAGGAAAGACTACTGAAGATGTTTGTGTATAGTCCAGTGTTTCTTTAGTATATTTCGGGGGCTTTTTTAGTTAAGTGTACCCCTAACATTACAAAAATGTCATACTATCTTATATTTACCAAGGGAGTTTTGTGGCCATTGGAATACAAAATTTTCATGTTGACTAGAGCAGTAAGTAGTGTACTTTGACTAGTTCATTCAGGATATGAACTCAATGCTTCAGTCATCTTGGCTCTTCAGTTTGTTCTGCTGTTCAGATAGTTTTTACATAGTACATTTCTTTGTGAATATAATGAATTTGAGTTCTGTGTTGCATTTTATTTCTACTGGAGATCCTTTTGGTGTCTTACGGTATTGAATGTGTGATTTAAACATCAAATCTGCCTGCTGTGGCATCAGTCTTAAAGATTTTGTATGGTGAAAAAATTTCAGTTTTAAACAAGACTTCAGAGCACTGTCTGCCTTAAGTCATTATACAGATGAGAAGCATCAATGTGGATCCTGTTCTTTTTCTGAAAGCTTACGTTGGTAGTGTAGCTGAGGTACTTAATACTTTTGTATCTGAGTAATTCAGTAGTTGAAGCCAGGAAGCACATTAATGAGGCTTTTAATTTCAAAAACGAAATGTAATGAGTTTTGTATTAGCAATCTTTATTACATTTTTGATTTGTTACCTTTTCTGAAACTGTATAAAATGAACAAATGTTCATTAGAGAATAAGTTGTAGCTCTGTCCTCATACTTTAAGAAGGATTAAAAACCTAGCTGTTACTGTTTTGACCTTCAGTTTAATCTCATTCATTGTGGAAAATAAAAATGACGTAATGGTTAGACTAACAGACATGACTTCCATTTAATAAAGTAATACTTTTAGAATTGGATTCTGTTTCTTGCTTATTTGTTGTTATATGGAATCTTACATTTGTGAGTAAGAGAACTTGGTTTCTGATCACCCTTTTCAGTCTGCTCTGACATATTTGGAGTCTATTGGATTTGGTGTTGAACAGGCTCATCCACCAGCTACTAAAGAAACCATAGATCGTCTGCCACAGATTATCGTCACAAATGACCACGATGGTATGGAAAAATAATTAAGAATTAATTTCCACAAAGTTTATAAGAACAAATTTTGCTTTCTGTAATACCATAGATGCAGTATTTAAACATACTATGCAGCTGGCAATGCTGTTCTAAGAGCTTTTGAATCATGAATCAGACTGACTATAACTTTGGTTGGTTTGGAAAACTCATCTTTACTGGAGTAAGTGTGATTGTATTTTATAATCTTTAGTGATAGAGTTGATAATATATGTATTTTAATTTTAGCTCGTCTTAGATGTAAACCAAGATAATAATAATGCTTTTTCTTTATCATGGATGTAGGTCAAGAGCAGCGTTGTACTATCTGTTGCAGTGAATATGTGAGAGGTGAAATCATAACAAAGCTACCATGTCATCATTTGTTTCACAAACTCTGTGTAACTCTTTGGTTACAGGAAGTAAGTATTCCAGGAATGGTGGGGATTTTGTGGGTTTTTTTGAGTATTTGCATTCCCCTGGGAAGAACAGTTCGTAATGTTTTGAAAATGTGGGATGAACTGAGTGGGGGTTTGGAGCTAGATGACCTTTAAGGTCCCTTTGATTCTATGAAATGACTGACTTAAATTACTTTCCTCACCATAACGGATAAAAATATCTGTCCTCACCTGAAGGCCAATTTCTTCTATAGAGAGTGTATTTTTGTGAGGAAAAGCACCGTTTTAGTAAGAACAAAAGAGATGGATGAGTTACAACTTTAAGAGAAAAGCTTTCTTTACTCATACCTTGAAGTAAAGAAGATGGCTTTGTTTTCTCTGAGTAGAGCAAAGGATCTGATCTGTCTCTTCAGAACGTTAGGCCCACTTATGGCAATGGCTGGGGTTGGCAGAAGAAATACTGGAATGCCTGTGGATTAATTAAAAAATGTACCCATGATAAATCTATATTGTATTAGATTTCATTTTCATAATCTGTAATCAGTTTCCCTCTAAATGTCTTAAAGGCTTACATCATATTGAGGCTAGACTAAAAGTACTGTAATTAATGAATTTTGATTTTTTTTTTTTTTTTTTTTTTTTTTTTTTTTTCTTGCACTTGTGCTCTCCTTTACTCACAGTGTGAGCCTGGACTTGCTAGTTCTCAGTGAGCCTACAGTGTAACACAGTGTTTCCTCAAGAGGTACAAGAGGAAAATTGATTCAGGCTAGAGAGATCAGATCAGAACACCTCTAGCATGGGCTATTGTTGGGTTTATAATTTTTTTTTTTAGCTTGATAGTGTTGACTACCGTGTTGATATTGCTTGTATTACATGTGCAGCCTTTTTCTGCTATCATAGTAAACTGCTCTTGTTGAAAAATAGAACAAAATACATTCTGTTACATTTGGGCTGTACCTACTTTATTTTTAATCCTTGACTCAAATTTCCACCTGTAAAATCAATTCTTCGAAGACCACCTTGCAGAGAGCCTTACGTATAGGCTGTGTAACTGGTTTAAAACAAAGCTTTCTTCTGAGATCGTTAGCTTCTCTTAGCTCCAGGTAGCTATGCAGTCAAATTTGAGGCAGTGCTGTTGTGAAGACGTTAAGTACTTCATAAATAATAACCTTTAGCTTTTCAGTAGACTTGAATGCAAGCTGCAAATGACCTAGGTTTTTTCTCTTTCTTTGCAGTCAGGAACATGCCCAGTTTGTCGTCATGTGCTTGCACCTGTGCTTCCTCAAGCAGCTGCTGCTACTGTTTCCTTTCTGACCAATCATGATTCGGCATCTTCTGTTCACAGTGCTACAGGAGCTTCAAACTAGGGTCTGAAATTAAATCTGTCACCAAAATAATGTTGCCTGTTTACTTACAATGTGAAAACAATTATGTAAAAAATACTATATGTAAAAAAAATACTGTCTATATTATATATTTCAGTTTAGAAAAGAGGGTGCAAGACTTTCTAAACTCCCTAGGTTTACAGTAATACCTGAAATTTTAGAACTATAAGTTAGAAGAACATGCAGCCTTTTTTCTTAGCAGAATATTGCTGACAACTGTAATGTCTAAAGCTTGTATTATGATAAATGTTTCCAAGAAGAAAATGGATGTGGCACTGTTCAAGTTCTTGCAGCTGAAGTGCAGTTGTAACTTATTAGTAAGCATAACTCGTTTTATGTTTACTGAACTACCTTTTTGTCAAAGTAAGTGCCAGTGAGTGACTTTACTTGATTTGTCATATTTACATCAAATGTGAAGATGTTCTGTGGTGCCAGCAGTGGTAGAATTCTATTTCACTAGAAACAAATTGCATAATGGAGCAATATTTCTTACCAGCTCATTCCATCAAACTTTTTTCCTGATGTCAGAAGTGCTATTGTTGCAGTCCATTTTTTATATAAATTCTAGCATCATTCCATTTATAAGCCTGCATCCTGAATAAGTATATGAACTGTGGAACTTCAACTTCTGAAGTTCTAAATTACTAAGAAGTTGCATCTGTATGAGCTGAGCACCTAGTTCCTTCAATTTGTGTTTGAATTCCATTCTTCTAAATAAGTCTCCTGCACTCTTGCATATGTGCATGGTCTTTTTCTTTTTAAGATAATTTTATTTTTACATATATATCAAGGCTGGGGTTGCTTTTGGTGGCTGAAATCTTAAGTCTGAAAAGGTAGTAGAAACTTAACATGCATAGTTGAAAAATACTTTTCAGTACTTGGCTATTAGGATTACTCCAGTATATGCAAAAACTTTAAGGGACAGGATGTTAGTCAATACAGGGCAGAAAGTTAATATTTGAGTGTGTATATGCATACTAATGGCTGCACAAGAACTCTTCTCTGGACATTGGGTAGACACACAGTTGTGAATTGGAGTAATATATAAGGGGTTTAATCAAACCCTCTTCAAACAGTTACAGTTTTTTCCAGTTAGGTTTAAATTAAGATGAATTAAGCTCATGGAAAAGCAATTGATTGAAAACTAATCATCTTATAGTAGGTTGCTGGCTGTTCAGTAACAGTTATGGCTGCCATCACAGTATCTCATTTCTTCACAAATATTAATATATTTTTATTAGCAGTCAAAGATAGTAATATTCATGTTCAAGGGACTATGCAGTGTAACTTGTAGACTGCATCAGAGCAAAGAATTTGTAGCAGTTGCCACTAGTCTACTCCTGAGATTTTCAATTATGTAATTCCAAAACTTAAAGTATAAGGAAACCAAAACAATAGGATACTGGTGAGAAGTGGCAGATGTGTAGCTCCTTGCTGATTTATTTTCATTTATTAAAACTTTATATTTGCAAGAGTAGGCATCAGTAGGATTTGGAGAAGCATGACGAGGGTAATAAACATCTAGGCATCTCACCAGCAAAATTCATACTAGTCCAAGAAGTGCTATAGTCTTTCACATCTCTTTTGCAAACTAGTGCTGTGGAGAGTGGTTGATCTGTGGCTACCAACTACCACAGATGATAAAATAGTAATTCATCCTTTAAATCTCATCTAAGGTGTATATGGGATGTAATGTAGATTTAAGAGAAAGTGAAAATGACCATGTCTGTATTGTTTGCAGAGGAAAACACCACCAGAATGATGGATTTGGTAGTATCAAAATTTTTCTGTTAGTGTCTTATGCTGTTCAGTAGCTCCCCCTGCAGTAAACGTTACAGGTATTTTAACCAGCCTGTACTTTGTTTCTCTCTGGAATGGCATAATACGTTGGTCTTCTTTTAATCTCTCAAGCACAGGGTTTTATAAATGAGAATTACTTGAAACTCTGTGGCAAGATTTGGAAATCCTTTTCATTCCAGACTTAGCCAGCAATGTAGATTGCTAAGCTAGAAACTTTGCACTTCCTTTGTTTTCTGTTGCTGGCCTCAGCTCTGATATATTCACATTTCTAAACAGCTGTCTAAAGGGAGAGTGTTCATGTTATAGATAGTAAAAAAACCCAGACTTTTGCATTATGTCCAAATGTTTGTTGTGATTATTTAACTTTTTTTGGTAAATGAAATCATAACAGATTGCTATGCAGATTCTGTGGTTCCTGCTTCAAATGTAAAATTGTTTGGTTAAAATGGGTGTAGTTCTTGAAAAGGCCTTGCAAAGTACAATGTTCTTCTTGAATAATAAAAATTGTTTTTTTGCTCAAAGGGGATATTCTAGACATTTCCAAATAAAGACTTCTAGCTTCAAGGAATAAAATATTTTTTTCTTTGTGCTAAGTAAAACTAAACATTCCACAAGAATAAAAAAGGAATTGTGAAAAATAAATAAGCTTCTTTCTGTTTGTATTGTCTGTATATGCACTAGTACATTGGAAGCATCTAACTTAACTGTGTAATGAAAACTGAATTCTAATATTTCCACAAACCACTTTAGAATTAAAGTTAAAATCCCTTCTTTTTTTTTGTTCTTTAAAAACCTGAACAACAGAGCCATTTTAAGCTGGCAAGTTTTGAAAGGATAGGTTATCTGTTTTGGCTGTTACACATAGAGGAAACAGATTTTTCTTAAGTAGCCATAATGAAAGCAATTAATGTAGAGTGAAAAGAACATCCATTCAAGTCAACAGGTAATTTCCCTTAAGTCTTGTGCCTGTGTAGGTTTTAGGATTTTGGTCAAGTTTATCGGGCGAGATATCTGATAGCAGTCACAGCTTTGCAGATACCTCCCTTGTTATTTCTTTCCTCCTCTGTTTCCTTATTCTGTGCTTGATTGAACACCTGAGAAAACCCACCTTTTTTTTTTGCTTATTGATACGGAAGAGTTGCAAAATGCAATTCTTTATTTCTATGAAACTAACGCCTTACAGGCTCTATAAGATGTTAATATTTCCAGTGAAAAGAGCTTAAATCAGAATGGTTTGGGTTGGAAAGGTCCTTAGAGGTCATCTTCCCCTAGATCAGGTTGCTCAAAGTTCTGTCCAGCCTGGCTTTGAACCCTTCCTAGGAGGGGGCAGCCTCAGCTTCTCTGGGCAACCTGTGCCAGTGCCTCACCGTCCTCATAGTGAAGAATTTCTGCCTCATATCTAAATCTACCCTCTTTCAGTTTAAAACTATTACCTTCTTGCTGTTAAAGAGTCCCTCCCCATCTTTCCTGTAGGTTCCTTTTAAGTACTGGAAGGGCTCTGTGGAGCCTTCTCCAGACTGAACAACCCTTTACTCTCTCAGCCTGTCCTAAGGGAGGTGCTCCAGCCCCCTGATCATCTTCGTGGCCTCCTCTGGACCTGGTGGGGACCCCAGAGCTGGACACAGCACTCCAGGTGGGCATCTCAAAAGAGCAGAGGGGGAGATTCACCTCCATCAGCCTGCTGGCTACGCTTCCCCTGATGCATACCAGGGCAAGGTTGGCTTTCTGGGCTGTGAGCATACACTGCTGGCTCACAGTCAGTTTTCCATCCACTATTACCCCCAAGTACTTCTCTGCAGGGCTGCTCTCAATCCACTCTACCCAGCCTGGATCCGTGTTTGGGAATGCCCTGACCCATTGTTGCAGAAACTATTAAATTAACAAATAACAAAAATAAAACTTGTTTTTCAGCACAATTAACCAACACTCTGCAAACATACAGTATCAGATGTCTGTGAGAAAACAAAGCTATTACCACATGAACTCCTAGGGTTTAATGACAACCCAAGGTCCTCAATCACTCATCTAAAAGAAAAGAATTCTCAAGGAACTTCTTAGGGCAGCAAGGAGTTTCCTTGGGCAGTGTCCAAACCCAAGGGGAGAGTCCTTACCTGCAGTATGCTGCTCCAGGTGGGACTAGCTCAGAATGGCTCCCCCAGGGGACTCCATTTATACCCAAGCCAAATCTGACCTGTGGTCAATACCAGCCCCTGTTGGCCAAGGTACCTCAACTACTGTAAGACCGTGAGAACAAAGGCACAGAAAAAGTTTGCCAGGAAGCCACATTTTCATCAAGCAGATGCAGCTGCCACACGCGTGTGCAGGACCTTGCACTTCGCCTTGTTGAATTTCATGGAATTTGCACAGGCCCACCTCTCAAGCCTGTCCACGTCCCTCTGTATGGCATCCCTTCCCTACAGCACGTCAGCTGCACCACACAGCTTGGTGTCATCTACAAATTCGCTGGGGGTGCACTTGACCCCACTGTTAATGTCCCCAACAAAGAGGTTAAATAATACAGACCCCTGAGGAATACCAGTCATCACTGGTCTCCACCCAGACGTCGAGCCATTGACAGCAATTCTTTGACCATGACCATCCAGCCAATTCCTTACGTACTGCATGGTCCACGCATCAAATCCATGTCTCTGCATTATAGACAAGGATGTTACGTGGGATGGCATCAAAAGCTTTGCATAAGTCCAGATGGATGATGTCAATTGCTTTCCCCTTATCCACCAGTGCTGCAACCCCATCATAGAAGGCCACTGAGTTTGTCAGGCACTATTTGCCCTTAGTGAAGCCATGTTGGCTGTCACCAACCACCTGTCTCTTTTGCATGTGCCCTAGCATAGTTTCCAGGAGGATCTGCTTCATGATCTTGTGGGGCACAGAGGTAAGACTGACCAGCTTGTACCTCCTCCGATCTTCCATTTTTCATTTTTTAAAAATGGGGTTTTGTTTCCCCTTTTCCAGTCACTGGGAACTTTACCAGTCTGCTGTGACTTCTCAAATATGATGGATAGCAGCTTAGAAACTTCATCTGCCAGTTCCCTCAGGACCCTGGGATGTATCTCATCGTGTCCCGTGGACTTGTGCACCTTCTGGTTCCTTAGATGGCCTCAGACCTGATCTCCTATGGTGGGTGTTTCTTCATTGCCCCAGTCCCTGCCCTTGTATTCTGTGAATTTGGCGGCATGGCTAGGGCACTTGCTGGTGAAGACAGAGGCAAAAATGTTGAGTACCTCAGTCTACCCCATGTCAATTGTAGCCAGGTCTTCTGTTTCACTCATCAAGGTGAGGACAGTTTCTTTCATCTTCCTTTGCTGTCCTATGTACCTCAAGAAACACTTCTTGTTACTTTTTACATCCCTAGCCAAGTTCAGTTAGAGATGTGCTTTGACTTCTCTGATGCCCTCCCTGCACTCCCAGGCCATATCCCTACAATCTCCTCAGGATGTGTATCCTTGCCTCCACTGCCTATGCATTTTGGTTTCGTGTTTCAGTTTGGCTAAGAGGTCTTGATTTAGCCAAGCTGGCCTCCTACCTCCCCTGCCCAACTTCTTGCACATTGGGATTGAGAGCTCTTGTGCACTAAGAAAAATGTCTTTAAATATCATCCAGCTCTCATTTGCTCCTTTGCCTCTAAGGGCAGTTTCCTAAGGGATCCCATGTGCTAGTCCCCTAAACTGCCAACAGTTTGCCCTTCTGATGTTGAGTCCTGACGGTACCTTTTACCTGTCTTGTAACCCTCAAGATTTAGAATTCAACCAGCACATGATCGCTGCAGCCCAGGCTACCTTCAATCCTGACCTTTCCAGCAAATTCTTCCACATTAATGAACAACAGGTCCAGCAGTGCCTCTCCTCTGGTTGATCTCTCCATCACCTAGACTAGGAGGTTGTCCTCAACACACTCCAGTAGTTACCTGGACTGCTTGCATTTCGCTGTGCTGCTTTCCCAGCATGGGAAGTGCTGGGATGGGATGGTTGAAGTCCCCTATCAGTATTAGGACCTGAGTGTGACGCTTCCTGCAGTCGAAGAGCTCTTCATCAATCCCCTCTCCTTGATCAAGTGGCATGTACTATACACCAACCACAAAGTTTCCTTTGTTGGCTTGTTCTCTATTTTTCACACATAAGATCTTGACCTGCATGTTGCTGTTCAGATAGCTCTGTGCAATCAATCCCAGTTTTGGCATAGAGGGCAACTCCCCCACCTCTCCTTTGTCCCTTCTAAATATTTTGTAGCCATCAGTCACAGCACTCCAATCATGTGATTCATCCCACCAAGTTTCTGTGATAGCAATCAGGTCATAGTTATGTCTCATTTCTGGAAAGAGATTAGTATCATGGATTCTCTTCCGGATTTTTAATCCCTTGCATGAGATGAGGGCACTCAGAAAGCTGGGAGCCTTCTGAGGCTGTTAAGTCAACACCACTCAGGAACAGCTGTGCCCTCTGTATTTGCTTTAAACATTTAATCCTTTTCTCTGTTGGCTCTGCCAAGACATGGAACAGCCTGTTGGGTCTGAAGTAGCTTGAGTTAATTCCTCATCTTATTTCTTCATGTGCTTCATCAGTCGCCTTTGGTCTTGGATTGGAGTGGAAGTGTTCAGTTGAAACTCTTGCTGCAGGCAGTTTTTCAACTGCCTGAGTTCACAAATCATGAGTATTTCAGAACTCTGTGTCACTGATTCCACTTACTGCTTGACACTTAGTGCACTATTAGCTCTAGTACTTGTTTGACAGCCTCAGACCCTCTGCATGTGGTGCTGCTTTGGCCCTAGCATTTCCCCTGAATTTTCATACTCTACATCTAAAGTAAGTCTGTCACTGATTTTGTGTGATGTGATTTCCTCACAAAATACAGTTCTAGTGCATCAATGTTCTGACTTAGTTTTCCAGGCTTGAATTGACTGATCATCAGATTGACTTTTTACACTGTGGGAAATTATGTGCTCAAAATCTGATGAGACTCAACCATTAAAAAAAAAAAAAAAAAAGAAGGAAGAAACCCAAACAATCAAAACAAACCAAAAAAACTCACACTCCAAATAAAACCCCAAACCTCTCTCAACCTAGCAGCTACAGTGTGCAAAAAACTAACAATCTTTTTCCATTTTGAACAAACAATCTATTTCTGCTCTGAGCACACTGGAAGTACTTTCTTTGTGCTGCTTTTAACCTGTTCTCTCGAATTTAATTGAGGGTAGATGATGAAGCTTATAGAGACATCATTTACGATGTATTGTTAAGGTACTACCTTTTACTTGTTAAGATACTACCTGGTGCATTTTTAAAGATACAAACACTCCCTTATTACTCAGTTTGCATAAAGAATTGCAAAGTTATATGGTGCAAAAATCAGGTGTTGCAAGAACAGGTTTCTTCTGAAGATACAGTATGTTGTAGTTTTTGAGGTCTTTTTCCTGTGGAGATGGTTTTCCAGTTCTAAATTGAAAAAATTGTAATGAAATACTGTCTCATGGGAGCAGGGAACTGGTTATAACATGTTGAAATGATGATACAATTTGATATTTGTGCTCTATTAACTTTTTTTTTTTTTTTTTTTTTTTTTTTTTTTGCCACTTGCAAGGCCTACTGAGTGATCCTTTTAACTGCTTTTTTTTC